CCCTGCCGATGTCTACGTCGGACACTAAGTGACCTAGAAGTACTGTTTTACGATAAATTTCTGATTATATTAAATGGTTTTCAAATACAAATATGAAATTATTTATAAACTATAAAAGTTAAAACGTTTTATGCCGCTATTAAATTGTACTGAACGTTTCAATAACATAAAATAATAGTAAATATAGCTTATCATAGTGTTGTTACCCGCGAGGCTGCCGGTCATGGCGGCGTCCAGCGTGGAGACCTGGAAGAGGCGCAGCGCCTCCGCCACGTGCGCCTCCGTCGCGAACGCCGCCAGCTGCATCTTCGCCAACGACTCTGAGATGCGTACTATAGCCTCCAGTTGTCTGATAAACATTCCATAACCGTCTTTTACAAGCGTTAGTTACCGATTTTATGATTTTTAAGGTTATAATTTTCTAAGTTTTCTATTGGAGGAAAAGTGTGTTATAGTTTCTTTTTAAATATATCATTTGCCCAGGTTCATCGGTGACCTGTGTTTCCGTATCCGGACTCACATCTAAAAGTCATCTATCCTCTCTAAACAAAGTGATTAGTTACTAATGATATGTTAGTAGAATCGATAAAATGTGTCTAATGACTCGGAAAAATACACAACATATTTATATATAGAGAGAATACTAGCTATTGCTTGTGACTTCGTCCGCGCGGAACCAATTTTTTTATTAAATATTACCTATGGTATTCAGTGATAACGTAGCTTTTAAATAGTGAAATTTTGGAAGCAGCCCAGTACTTTTTAAGTTATTTCAATACATACAAAACACAAATCTTTCGTCTTTATCATATTGTATAGAAATAGATTTATAACTTTAAAAAGTTGTGGGTTTGACAAGTAAGATAAGGGGTTCTTTTTTTTACACTACCGCATCTCAATCAGTCCGAGAAGATGGCGCAACTGTGCCGATATCTTGAGCTTAAACAACCCAATCGTGGTAAGAAATGTATCTTACGTACATTCTAGATATAAAGTATTGTCAGAATCATACATTTTTATTTTTCAATCAGTGAGCGATAATGTAAAGTTGTGTTACCTGACAGTGATAGGTATAGAGAGTCGTTTATCTGCGTGTCGTTCGTGTTGCGAGGCGCCGGCGCGCATGAGGACGTAGCGCGCGCGCAGGCGCTCGGCGGCGGGCGCGGAGAGGCGCGGGCCGCAGCGCGCGCGGCAGTACGCGCCGTAGCGCCGCACCACGCCCAGCGGCAGCTCCCCGCTGCCCATCTCGCGCTCCGCGCTGTCGCCCCCCATGTGCACTGACATTATGTGCTTGGCTAGAGTCTGTAACATATTTATATAGCCTTCAGGCAGACATTCAAAAAATATGTAGTAAAAACTAAAACTACGTTATTTTTAAATATAGATTGGTACATAATTACAAGATACAGTTTATTATGCAAATATAATGCATAACAATCATAGTTAGTTTACATATCACGCCTGCGCGGTCCGCATAAACGATACCTTATCGCCCCATTAGCCTTAAAGACGTAAATTAACCTCCATTATAACTCGGCATAAGAAATACCTTAGGCGGAAGCGGATTCGGAATTATCAATTCTTGCGGAAGTTTCGCACTTGCGGATGCGGAAGCAGAGTTCCGTTACAACCCTAGTCTAGTCTACATAATTCTTAAATATTCAGAATATAGAAAACACTAGAATAATATGAATGAATTATATGAAAACTGCAACTAGTATTTGAATAAAAAAAAAACATAGTTATTTCCCAAAAAAAAAAACTTACAATATCTCTATTCTGGTCGTGTTCATCTTTAACAATGAATATCATGTCGAATCGGGACAGTATAGTTGGCATGAAGTCGATATTATCATCCGCCTTAGTGTCGTCCCAGCGACCGAACACGGAGTTAGCGGCCGCCAGCACTGAGCACCGCGAGTTTAGAGTCGTCGTTATACCTGCCTGCACATTACACGTTATTTCACATTATTTATATCAAAATTATTCACTAACTGTTGCTCGCGACTTCGTCCACGCGAAATTAAAAAAATGTAGCCTGCTACACAGTGATAACGAAGGTTTAATGGTGAAAGAATTTTTTAAATCGGCCCAGTTATGTTTGAGTTATTACAATATATACAAAAATACATATCTTTTCTTTTAATATAAATACATATTAATTATAATAATTCCACAAAAAAAAATAACTGTTAGGTTCTGCTAAATATTCTTATTTTAGAAGATGGAAAATATCACCAATTTATTTAAAAAGTATTTTTTACTTGATGCAAACAAATTATGGTTTACCACTATTCTTAGTAGATGAAATTGATACCATAAAGAGGAATGATTTGTATTTCTGTATATACAATTTCAATAATGAAATAACTCAAAAACTACTGGGCCAATTAAAAAAAATCTTTCATGATTAAAAACCTACGTTATCAGTTTTTTTTTTTTTTTTTTTTT